AGTCTTTGCAGGAGGGCAAGAAAATTTACGTACGCTCCAGAAAACTTAGGGTTTAGGGTTTAGGGTTTAGGGTTTGGGGTTTAGGGTTTTGCTGCCTCTGCTTGTGCGGTGTTTGAACAGCCGGCGGATATCACCAGCGCTGCCAATGACCTCTTCGACTCTGTGAGACATCTCGCGGGCTAAGGGCTTAGGCAGTAGGGTTTAGGGTTTAGGGCTTAGGGTTTAGGGTTTAGGGTTTAGGGTTTTGACGCAAGCCTTGTGTGTGTGCTGCAGCCACTGAAGGACTCTGTGTCATGTTTGCCGCGGGGAATGAAGTGCGCCGCTTGCATTCGCGTCTCGGGTTTAGGGTTTGGGTGTCGCTGGGCTTAGGGTTTAGGGTTTAGGGTTTAGGGTTTAGGGTTTAGGGTTTGCGTTGCGTTTGCTGCAGGTTGCTGCTGTACTGCCTGCTGCAGCAGCAGCGGCACTCGGACTGCGGCGTCTCGCTCAGGTGTCTGCGCAGCTCTTTCCAAACCCTCCTGGATATTCACAAGTTCAAGTTGACAGAGGGAAGCTCTTCTGCTGCTGCTGCTGCAGCAGCAGCAGCAGAGGCCCCCCAAGTGGGCATAGAAGACCTCAAATCCATGATAGACAGCGTAGGACCAAACCCTAAACCCTCAGTCCAAAACCCTAAACCCTAAACCCTAAACCCTGCAGGCACTCCCGAGCTCTCGCCGCGCGCCGCTGTGCAAGTCACCAGCGCGCATGCAACTCTAGGCCGCTAAATAAGATATTTTGAATTTATTTTCATTTTAATTATTTATATTTTATATTTTTGTTCAAATTAATTCAAAAATAATGCATGCGCTTTCTGCATGCCCGAGTTTGCGCTGTGGGAAATGGGCGCGGGCTCATGGGGGAACACATCTGAAGGTGGAAAGCTGCGGATGCGCACATTTTGATGTTTTCTCATTTATTTTAATCTTTTAATTTATATTTAATTAAATTAATTGCAATTTATTGTTTGCTTCGAGGCCTCAAGCTCGTGCTGGCTCGTGGTCTAGCGTGTGTGGAGAAGAAATCGCCGAATTCAAATGTGAATTTCGAAAACTTGAATTTGCTTTCGATCTTTTGAATTTATTTGCACAATTGCGTCGGGTGTACGTACAGCTGGCGAGCATGCGCGTGGTGGAGGCGTTTCTGCATTTGCCGCTCACAGAGCCGCCGCTGGCAGCAGCAGCAGCAGAAAAGAAGAAAAAGCCAGGTGTACATACACCTGGGAGCAGCAGCAGAGCAGCAACTGTGGACCCCATTATTGACGAAGCAGGGGGAGACACAGAGGTCGCCATCATAGCGCCTGTCCGTCGTGCTGCTGCTGCTGCTGCTGTTGCTGCTGCTGCTGCTGCTGCGGCTGCTCAAGCTGGTGGTGGTGCTGCTGCTGCTGCTGCTGAGGGCAGTGGTCATTTTGGCGCTGCTGTGCTGCTGCTTTTGCTGTTGGCTTGGCTCGACTGTCTTGTGGGGTTCGAGGAGGCTTGAGCAACTGCTGCTGGTCCTGCTGCTGCTACTGTTACTGCTACCGCTGTTACTGCTGCTGCTGCTGCTGCTGCTGCTGCTGCTGCTGCTGCTTCAGATCGACGACTTGGTAGCCGCGTTTCTGCGTGACGAGGACCTTGAGGGCCTCCCTTTCTAAATGCCAGCATCTTTAAATCAGCAGCAGCAACAGCAGTTGCTGCTGCTGCTGCTGCCTCCGCCGCAGTAGAGGCGCGGACACAGTTGCTGCAGCAGCAGCAGCAGTGTGACTCTCGCCGTTCCCGCAGCAAAGGTTTGCTGCTGCTGCACAGTATGGCTGCACAGCAGCAGACCAGGCCCAAAGAGAAGCAGCAGAGGGCAGCAGAGCAGGAGCATGCCAGGAAATATGTGCTGCTGCTGCTGTTGCTGCTGCTGCTGCTGCTGCTGGCGTGTGCCTTGCTGCTAGCGCTGCGTTGGCGTTTGCTGCTGCCTTGCGCGGCTTGCCGCGCGGCTGTTGGCTGCTGGCGGCTGCTGCTGCAGCGCCTGCTGCTGCCAGCTGCTGCTGCAGCGCCTGCTGCTGCCAGCTGCTGCTGCAGCAGGGCCTCAAGAATGCTATTTGCTTATTTGCTGCTGCTTCTTTCTGCCATTTTGTCTATTTGGCCCAGAAGAACAAGTGAGGCTCTTCAGGTGTATGTACACCTGAAGAGTGGGGCCTAACGGCCCTCAAATGCAAATTTTGAGCAGCAGCGCCAACTTTGTCTTCTTTTTCCCTTTAGGGTTTAGGGCTTAGGGTTTAGGGTTTAGGGTTTAGGGTTTAGGGTTTTTGGCTGGCTGGCTCGCCAGCTGACGTGCGACAGCCGAGGGTTTAGGGTTTGAGTCTAGGGTTTGGGTTCAGCGCTAGGGTTTTGGTTTGCCTTTCTGAGGACGGCGTCACTAGGCTGCCCTCAAACCCTAAACCCTAAACCCTAAACCCTAAACCCTAACAAGCAAGCAGAGAGGCAGAAGCCCTACAACTATGCCGGCAGCCCAGGCTGCTCTGTCGCCGCCACACGTGCAGCAGCAGCAGCAGCAGCAGCAGCAGCAGCAGCAGCAGCAGCAGCATAGTAGTGGCACAGCTGCAGCGGCTGCAGCGACGACGGTGCTGCTGCAGCAGCACAGCTGCAACAGCAGCACATCTGCAGCAGCCGCAGCTTTTGCAGCAGCAAAGAGGTTTAGCCCCTGGCAGCACTTAAATATACTAAGGAGCTGCCCTGCTGCAGCAGCACAGCAGAAGAGGCAGCAGCAGCAAAGCAGCCGCAGCACTAGCAGCAGCACCACGAACAGCACCAAATATAACAGCAGCACTGCCAGCAGCAGCAGCAGCACTGCCACGAGCAGCAGCTACACCTTCTACCGGCAGGGGAGCGGGCAGCAACAGCAGCAGCAGCAGCACGAGCAGCAGCAGCACGAGCAGCAGCAGCCCGGCAGAGCAGCAAGCGCAGTAGCACAAGCAGCAGCACAAACAGCAGCACAAACAGCAGCGGCTCGAGCGATAACAGCAGCAAAAGCAGCACCAGCAGCAAAAGCAGCAATAGCAGCAGCAGCATGAGCGACAGCAGCACAAACCCTGGGGTCTACAGCTGCTGCATGCATCATATTGAATTTAATATTTCCATAAAAAGTTTGCTGCACATTAGTCAAAAGTTCAGCAGCAGCTGCTGCTGCTGCAGTAGCAGCAAGGCAAGATCGAAGGAGCAGCAGCAGCAGGAGCTGCTGCTGTTGCCGATGGAAGCGGCTGCTGTTCAAGGTAAAGCGGCTGCTGCTGCTGCTGCTGCTGCTGCTGCTGCTGCTTCGATCCTGCAGCATTGAAGTGTGTCTTTTAGACAAGAGTCAATCATTTAGAAGTCTCATTAGCAACTCTGGCTCTGCTGCTGCTCCAGGCGCTGAATTGCTAGGCGGCCCGTTGCCTGTGTGGCAGCAGCAGCAGCAGCAGCAGCAGCAGCAGCAGCAGCAAATTCTCAATTGCGTTATGGGTCTTTTAAGAGTTTCTTGTCTCCAGCTGCATAATTTATAGCCCTTTTTGCTTCTGCAGCTTGCTGCTCGAACCACTATTCAGTGGCCGCCCACTGCTGCTGCTGCTGCTGCTGCTGCTGCTGCTGCTACAGCAGCAGCATGAGCGCAGCTCTTGAGCGCGCTGGTGCCACTGTCGCAGCAGCAGCAGCAGCCAAGACTGCAGCATCAGTCACTGCCCCTAAAGTGCTTCAGGGCCTGCCTTTTCCCTCTAGCAGCAGCAGCAGCAGCAGCAGCAGCGGCAGCAGCAGCAGTCATGCCTTCGGCTGCAGCGCGCCACTCCGCTGCTCCCCGAGCCTCACGGCGATCATGAAAAGCAAGTCGCTTCCAGGAGCAGCAGCAGCAGCAACAGCAGCAGCAGTAGCAGCAGCAACAGCAGCAGCTGCAGCAATAGCTCCGGGTCCATTCGAGGCCGGCCGAGGTCAGCAGTTCACTGCACCAGCTGCTGCTGCTGCTGCTGCTGCTGCTTCTGTGGCCCACAGCTACAAGACTGGACTTTCAGAGGCGGCCAGAGCACAGCAGCAGCACGGATCCACCGCAGCAGCAGCAGAAACGGCAGCAGAAGCTGCAGCAGCAGCAGGAACAGCAGCAGCAGCAGATCTCGCCGCTGCAGGAACTCCACTAGAGGGGCAGCTAATGCTGCAGCCTAGTGTCTTTTTGGGGGAGGGCTACACTGGAAGGCAGCAGCAGCTGCTGCAGCGGCAGCTGCAGCAGCAGATGCGGGAGGGACAGCAGCTGCTGCACCTGGTGCCGCAGCCGCCGCCCCGTTGCAGCAGCAGCAGCAGCAGCAATGTGTTTTTCGTCGGCAGCAACGGGGCCACGTGTGACGAAGCAGCAGCAGCAGCAGCAGCAGCAATTGCAGCGCCAACAGCCGCTTCAACAGCAGCAGCAGATGTTGGGGTGCAGCAGGGAGGGGCCTTCCTTGCTGCTGCTGCTGCGGAGCAGCAGCGCGCTCCCCCCATTGACATGTGTAGCGCTGCAGCAGCAGCAGCAGCAGCAACAGCAGCAGCAGCAGCAGTGCCAACGTCAGCAGCACCAGTGGGTCTTCAGCATCTCTTTGCCTACATGTCTACGCAGCAGCAAAAGACACAGCAACAGGAAGTGTTCGCCAGTTTGCTGCAGCAGCATCTGCAGCAGCAGCAACAGCAGCAGCAGCTCGCTGCTGTTGTTGGCTGTCCAGCCGCAGCATCAGCAGTTGACTTAGGCCGGCAGCAGCAGCAAATTGCTGCTCTCACACCCGCTGCAGCTGTTGCAGGCGGCAGCAGCAGCTTTCTGCAGACGATGCAGCAGGCACAGCAGCAGCAGCAGCAGCAGCAGCAGCAGCAGGAACAGCAGCAGAAGCAGCTGCGGCAGCAGCTGCGGCAGCAGCAACCCGCCGCGCAGCTACCGTCTTTCCTTTCCACGTTGCTGATGACTGGTGGCTCTCATCTGAAGCAACCAGCAGCAGCAGCAGCAGCAGCAAATGAATGCAACGGCAGCAGCAGCAGCAGCAGCAGCAGCAACGGTGCTGCCTATATGGGCCCTGCTGTGTGGCCTGCTGCTCTGGGTCAGCAGCAAGCTGCTGCAGTGCATAAGCTGCAGCAGATGCTGCAGTCTCATGAGGGCGGCGAAAATTCCTGCTGCAGCAGCAGCAGCAGCCGCAGCTGCTGCAGCAGCAACTGCAGCAACTGCAGCACAAGGTGTGGGGCCGAGTCTGTGCCATCGCCTCACGGGCAGCTGCTGGGGCCCTTTCTGGATCCGGAAAGAGCAGCAGCAGATCCTGCAGCAGCAGCACCAGCAGCTGCAGCAGCAGCAGCAGCAGCAGCACCGCGGCAGCAGCAGGCAGTAGCCACGCCAGCTGCTGCAGAAGGCGCTGTTGCTGCTGCTGCTGCTGCCGCACAGGACGGCACAGTGCAGCGACGCAGAGGCCGAACGTCTCTGTCAGCAGCAGCAGGAGCTGCAGCAGCAGGAACAGCAGCAGCAGCTGGCACTGCAGCAGCAGCAAATGGAGCAGCAGCACAGGGGAAGCGGCACCGATGCCGTGTTGCTTCTGCTGCTGCGGCTGCAGGGCAGACACAGCAAGAGCTGCCAGAGCAGGGCACAGAAAACGGCGCAGCAGCAGCAGCAGCAGCAGCAGCAGCAGCAGTTGATGGGGCGTGTCTTGACGGCTATCAGCAGCAGCTGGAGTTGGCGAAGCAGCAGCAGGAGCAGCAGCAGCAGCCGGGGCAGCAGCAGCAGCACTCCGCGCCGGTTGCGCAGCAGCGGGTCCAGGAGCGTTTGGATGCAGCTCCGGCGCCGCAGGCCGCAGACCAGAGCGAGCAGCAGCAGCAGCAGCCGCAGCAGCAGCAGCAGCCGCAGCAGCAGCCGCAGCAGCAGCAGCAGCAGCAGCAGGAGGAAGGCGCTGGCTGCTCGTCGTCCGCGGCGGCGTCAAGCTGCTGCTTGCCGCCGTGTGCCCCCCCTCTCCCGCCCCCTCCCCC